ACACTGTACACACACTGTTGTTGCCTGCGTTACACACAGTGACCAGCAGAGGGAGCTGCGCACACATCAAAGGCAACTTCCGGAAACAACGAACGAGCGTATCGTCCAATCAAACAAGGCTTCAATTTTAAATGAGAGCCGATAGCTGCTTCTGTTGCTGAACCCACAACGACACCAAACACTGACCCCAACGCTTCTGGCCAGGGTCGGGGCTCTGGATTATACCGGACTGTTGCAGCTAGTCAGTGGGGGTTTGGAGCTCCAGCGGTCCCTCGTCCACAGCTGTTTCATGGGAACCCAGGAGGGAGAGAGAGGTAAGGGAGCCGGGACTCGAGCTAACGACACGTAGTTAACGCTCACTTACAGCTAACGTTAGCTAGCTACCAGGTCATTGTTGCTTCCTGCTGTCACCGAGCCCAACATAACGTTGTACAGGTTTTAATTCAGTGATTACACTTCACGGTTTAACGAATTAACGTTGTCTGGCAACGTAACGCTCCCGTTAGCAACGTTAGCTGGCTACTTTTGAGTAAAGTCAACCGGTAAAGTTGTGTTAAAACATGTTGGAGGTAACTTAAAGGTGGCAGGTAACTTCAGGGGATAGTATGCTTGTTGTTTTGTCATTTTAAACCCATGACCACCGGTGTTATTTGATTTAAAACGTGGTAGCTGGTGTAGTAGCCAGATGGTTGGTGTGTATGAGACGAGATGACTCCCCGCTCTCAGACTGGAGTTTAACCGCGGACGGACATTCACGATTGAGTTATCACCACTAGAGGAGTAACTGAAGCTGTTTTGTGAATGTCATAAAAATGAGCTGTGAAGAAGCAGGATTAATCTACATACACGGTGCACTGATCTGTCCTGTATTAAGGGATTATTCCAGATAAACTCAGTAAAGATGCAGGCGTCGGTTTTAACTCTTTCACTACCCTCTCTTTTTATTATTCTAGATATTAAAAGGACTCTTATGGTTGGAAATGAACAAGACTTTTCTTTTTTTTGTTACAGATTGGGTAGATGTGGCAAATGATCTACTCAGCAAGTGTCACATAAACCTGAGGCTGAGGAAACTGACGGACTGCGATGCAAATGTTTTCATTGCTCTGTATGAGAACATCCTGGGGGAGAAAGTTCCAGGTAGGACCAAACTACAGGTCTAGTAATAGTAATGTCAACACAATTGGTTGAACAAAGCAATGGTAGGCAGCTATTTCTCTAAACTATTAATTGTTTGGGTTATTTTATAAGTATATTCTCTGGTTCCAGCTTCTCACTTGTGATGTTTTTATGCTTTTCTTTCTGTTACATGTTAATAAACTGAATATCTGAAGATGTAAAAATGGGACAGGCAAAGCAAGCAATCCCTCATTTATAGACAAAGTAATTCATTTATTAATGTAGCAAATAAAAAATGGAAATAACTATTATTTTTAGCCCTAACAAGGTCTCTTAGATTCTAAACATAAGGCCATAAACATGTAAGGTAAACAAGGTGTGAGGTTTTAGTTTCGAGCATGATCTCTTGAGTGTGCTCAGTATGTCAGGAATGCTTCCTAAGACCATCAAACATGCCACCACGAGACTGTTAATGTCGCTGAGCTGAAAGTGAAGACCCAAAGTGTTCCAGGAAGTGTGTGAATGCATGTTTCTGTAGGTTCGGTATTGTTGTGTGCATTTCGCTGTTTCTGTGGTCTCATACATGCTCTGGTAATTCACATGGGTGTGTGTATGTTTGTGTTCAGATTACATTGCAGCACCATGCAGTCAAGAAGATGACGTACATAACATTCAGTCTGTGATTGACTCACTGTCCCTGGATTACCTTCAGATCAGTCTCTCACACATTACAGGTATAATAAACATTTTCACTCTCAGCAACAATAATGATTAGGTTATGTGCACGTATAAGAGAATATAAGGGTAACTATAATTCACTGTTTCATACATGCATAACTTTTACTTTGATCGACTTGAGATGGTAAACATTTTCACCATAAAGTCACTTTTTTTGGGCTGTATGGACCAACTTCCTTACATCCTGAATGGGTATTAAATAACTGAAGGGCAACACAGTCCCCTTCTTCCTTCAGTAGTAAAACTGATGAGCACTGAGTATAATGCTATGGATGGCTTTGTGTTCGCAGGAGAAAATGTTGTCAGAGGGGACCAAGAGTCTATCAAGAACCTCCTGGAAATCTTCGATGGCCTTCTGGAATATCTCAAGGAGGAGATAAGCGAGGAGTCGCAGAATGGTGGTAGGTCAATTGACTTGTCAACTTGACAGCTTATTCATAAATGCCTTTGTTGAATACAAAAATCCATATAAGTTGATCGCAACTGGGTTTTTACTCTCAAAAAACACTGTTTTACGTCACAAATTGTGCCCTTTATCATTACAGCTCAGTAAAAACATTCATAAAATAATTAATAGTTACACCCCACCATCAGGTTTCCATCAGGTGTACTGCACTCCACCACTGACCAAAAACTACCACAGAAAGACTCCTTTTAAAACAACCAGACACATGGTATTTATTAACCCCAAAAGCCTCTGACTTCTGATGCTGGCACAGTGCTTTTAAGGACCTAAGTCAGGTGCGTCTCATTTAGTGATTAGCGCAGCTAGAGGAAGCAGAAGAGGAAAAGGAACAGAGCAGGGAAATACATACAGCCATAACAAAGCATAGCTCTTATCATTAGATTGCTGGGCAGAAGGCCATTTTCGTGGCAGCCTTTAGCATCCGGTGCTCTCAGTCCACCTGAAACTGCTACTTTACTGATTGAAACATATAGTTTGTGGAGGTGAGATCGCCTGTCTGTTCTTCAGCATGAACTGGGCCACCTAGTGCAGGACTTTATGGAGACCTCTTTATTTGGCAGAACTGAGCATGCCTGTGTGTGAGTGGGCCGTCCCTCAGACCACGGCCAAACAGCAATTAGTAGTTAATTACTTTGTCTTACAAATGATGTGAGTTCATAAACGGCCTGATCAAACTTCCTGGATGTGAAATACTGAAATAGTTATTGTACAATAGAAGCTAACAGTGGTCTGTTTATTGGGAATGTAGATTGTTTAAGGCTGAGCTATGGTGACACTGGTACAGTGTGGTGTTTATCTTCAGTTGCTGTTCCTTTGCTTTAGTACTTACTTTAGTAAGTAGTATATAGCTAGTATACTTTTCCTCAGTTGTTTTGTCTCAGTGTTAAGTCTTTAGGTTTGTCTTCATTTTGTACAATGAATTTCCGTTTGTTTGTCCTCTTTAAAATTCTATAGAAGTCTTTACATGTTGTAATCAAGTATTGGTTTCACTTTGTCATTGGTTCTTTTTTCTGAGTTTTCTGTCTCTCCCTGTACGTCATTTGTACTGTTAATGTCTTTCTTCAGAGGAACTGAATGACAGTCTCAATGAGGATGTGCCTGATGAAACCAAGGAGCCAACAAGTTGCGATGCCACAGAGCACAAGAAGACCAAACTGGATAGAGCGTCTTCGTCTTCCAGTGGAGAGTAAGAGCTTCTCTTAATCCCAAACATAGTACTGTTGCTGCTCCTGCACTAGAGAATTCTCTTTGGAAAGACATGATAGAAAGCAGGTGTTTCAGATGGCAAAAGGTCTTTGACAGTGTGTCAGTCAGGTAACTCTTTTTTTTTCAGTGAGCTCCAGTTGGTGAAGTCGGTCGGACATCACAGTTACATGCCCATTGCTCTTTTATCAGGAAAGGGCAATACATAGAATAAATAAAAAACAGTACAACCTGACAGTCAGGTTTGTTCCATGTGATTCTGACCCGTGCAGATCCGGGCTGTACATCCTGTTGACACAACAGCCGACTAGGCTAACTTCCTAGCAGTAGTGTAAATAGTAAGAAGTTAGTGTGTAGCTGTCAAACATGAATTCAAACAGAGATCTCTGGAGCTCAGAGAGCTTTCTAATTGATTCTTTATTCATTTTTATTATTGACATTTTAACATGCATAACAATTATTTAAAGTAAACACGTTTGGTAAATAATATTATGTGTTAATGTTCAGGTCTAATGTCCACTCCAGTAAACATTCCCTCCATTCCTGGAACGCTGAGGAGATGGGATCAACTAGTGAGCTCATCGGGCTGGGAGTCTCGGCACGCACATTCACAGCCAAACAAGAAGGTAAAAGGCCCACTTTGTCCCCATAATATCAAACATATCAATGTTTTTTTTTTTTCAGATGTTACATTAAGAATTCTTCACTAAGGGAAGGTGAATTCCTGATTTCTTAAAGTGTTCTTACTTTTTTGTTTGAAGCAATTTTAAGCAGCTTTGAGGCCGCATGTTGTTTTATGCATTGTTGCTCTAGATGTCACAGTATACAGAAGTTACCTAACCGGTTGTGTGGCTTTGATGCACGCCACAAAGATACTCTAAGCGATTTAACATCAACAACCAGTGTTTGCAAACAAGGCATAACCATGTCTACTTAAACCAAAATAATTACTTATTCTGTCACATCATGTGGCCTATAAGTATAATTTATATCTGATTAATTTATTATTATTAAACTATTTTATCCAATATGTAATAATATTTATTGATAATAAATAAATAAATATATATATATATATTAACTTTTAACTAATTCAAAATAATCTCGTTCAATAAATCTCATTATTAATCTGACAGGACTTGCTGTCGCTCCTCAAACCTCAGACGCAGTCACCACCTCTGGTCCTCTGGACGCCCAGGACGTTCCACTGACTGGACCGCTGCACTCAGCCATCGCTCTTCAGCCACCCAACCAGAGCAACGCCCCGCACAAACCCGACACAGACCCACACTCACCCAGCCCACCCCCCACTGCTGATGGCCTCAACCAACGCCACGCAGGGGAGGAAGCCGCTCCGGTCACCACAGAGGTAGCTTTATAATACAGCATGATGAGGTTCAGTTACTTTGCCTGTTATTTGCATGCAGTTTGAAAGGACAAGCAAACTTTATCTTCCAAAAGTTTGAGGGGTAATGACATATATTGCTAAAGAGCCAGCAATGCAAAACTGTCTGTCTTTTCAGTCACACACACACTTGCACTTCCTATTTTAGTGATTACAGGACAGTACAGGAAGGATAAGCGTATGCTGACTCTTTCAAAATGAGACAAGGAGTTACTTCAGTAATGAACTTTTCAGACTTCCTGATTTTTCTAAAAAACAATACTGTACTAAGAATCATTTACTGAACCTCTGAAAGGTAATTTCAAGCATAGTCTTTTTCATAATAATAATAATTTCTGCTCTCCATTAGCTTGAAAGAAACACATTTCTATATATGGGTGAACTCCTGTACTGGCCTACAACCATGACCAACCACATTCTCACTGTGTGTGTGACTAAACCACCACCTACACCTTGTTAGATGATGAAAGTAGGTGTAGCCAAGCTTGTTTACTATATCCGTGTTCTGAGAGTTCAGTCTTGACCAAGTTCTGTTTTTCAACAGAGCACTGGGCATTAAAAGCCTATTGGTTGATACAATAGATCTGATACCAAGGGAAGCAATACCTGTGTAAAACATTAAACCCCTTTTTATTTACATTTATTCTTACATGTAAGTACATTTCTTACCATTATAAGGAAAAACAGGAACTGCTGTCTGGCTAAGCACACTTTATAGCAGGTCCTGACATGCACAAAATCCTGGTTTTTGCATGTCTGCTGACACAGCTTAACCTATGGCCTGCTTCTATAACCAAGAGTACAACAACAGCCACCAAGCTTTTCCTTTCTTTAGAGTCACTTCACCCATCAGCAGTACCAATATGTTCTAAAAGCTATATATGATTTTATAATATAGACTTTTATGAGCTGCAGATTGTGTTCAGTTCTTCCTTCAGTGTTAATTCTTTGGTCATTCTTTTTCTGCTCACCTTTCTCTTTCACCTTTTTAATTTCTCACTATCCTTCTCACACAGACCTCTAGGCCGGTAGTGAAGACAGTTGTTACGAATGGGCTGCAGTCTCCTCCCCTTTTCCAGTCTCCTGGTAGGTAAAACAAATGTACCAGAACAAAATATCAGGTAGTTTAACTGATTGATGTAACTCTGATCACCGATCATGGGATTAAAAGCTAGCACTTTACATAATTGATAATCGTGACTGAATGTTGCAGTTGACCGTGGATCTCCAGGGCAGCTAGCAAATGGTACGGTTGGTCTGCTATGCCCATGTGACAGCAGAGTGAAGTGTTGCTTGTTTCTTGATTTCATGTTTTGCTCAACTTCCAGCAGTGAGTGAGAAGTCTTTGTCCAGTCAGCAGAGAGCCAGGACAGACGTAGAGGGGGAGGCGCTAGTGGTAAGAGACCAACAGGACACAGGGCACCGTGGTAGTATCTTGAGCTGTCATTTGTATCTGTGGTGGACACAAGATCATAAAGTGACACATACAGTGACCTACAGTATCATACAGTGGTAATTCAGTTCAGTCTGATGAAATGTCTAACAACACAAGTCAAGAAAAATGCTTCAGAAAACCACAAATCATAATTTTAATGTAAAATGAAATCATCTTGTTGTCATGTGAAGGTAATATCATTCCTGCTAATGTATCTGTCGGGCTTTTCCAGCCCAATCCTGTGCTATGTATGTATCCATGTTATTAAGGAGGAATGTATTAATGTTAATACACAAATGTCATACACTTATGATTCTTTCCCTTCTTGTTGTTTTGATTTTCTATTTTGTGGTATGTGAACCAAATTAACTTGATTCTCTTTTTTTGTCTAATCTCAGCCAACTAACGGAGGTCCCAGAAGGGTTTTATTCCGCACCCAGCCGGATGTGCTGTTCCTCACCCTGCAGGATGAGATGGCGGCCACAACCCCTTCTCCCCCAGACACTGAAGAGGAAGAGCAAGATGAGGAGGATCTGAGTTATACACGAAGACAACTGGACAGAAGAATGAGTCACAGAGAAAGGACAGTCCACAGGTAAGAAAGGTTGGGGAAAAAATGTTTCCTTATAGAAATATTATTTTATGCCTGGACAATGTAGTAATGCTTGTTTTTCTAATTATCTCTGCTGTATGGTGTCTTCCTGAGCAGTAGCAGGTTAGAGGAGGAAGGTTTTGAGGATCCTCTGTCATATCGCAGACAGAGGAACAAGCAAGCAGAAGAGGAGCTGCATCACATATCTGAAAATCTCTCCCATCGACTTGAGGAACTTGATCAGGTGTGTATTTCTAATTTTAATCCTTTCTGTATGTATGCGTCTGTTTTGTTCGGGGTGGGTTATAGTATCTGTATTTCACTTTTGTATTTGTGTATGCAACAATGTGTAATAATAGATGCTGAAACGAGTTCTGAGTGAAAGTGGAGACTCCAGTGAAGTCAGAGAAGAGGACAAGCAGTCCCACCACAGTGACAGCATCATGGAGTGTCGCAGGACTCTGAGACAGCACACAGGTACACACACAGGTTAACACTTTTCTTATCTTCAAAGATGAAACCAAACTGGTAAGGTCTTTGTACACCAAAGAACATTCAAACACATTAAAAGCATTAAAGTGCTGCCTAAACTTCTGTCGCATCGAATTGATTTCGCCACATATGTGCAGGATGCAATCGCAAAAATGTCAAACTGTCATGTTTATCCCCTTGTGTGTTTGTAAGGTTGTGAATGACCAGCATCAGTACTAAATGCACACAGTACATTTTTTCCCCTTTAGTCAGAACAATGTACCAAGACCTTAGACTCTGAAATACTGAAAATAAATGTATTGATTGGTAACATTTCTTAGTTTCAGGAACATCCGACGCTGAACCCACCCACCGGACACGCTCCTTATCCCCCTCCCCTCCACGGGTTCGCCCCTCCCTGCAGGGGCAGTTAGAAGATGCCATGGCAGAGGCCTTGAGTCTGGATGATGGGAGACAAACCAACCTCACAGCTTCTGAACATTCGAGGCGAGAAGAGCTACGTCACAGACCGTCTCACAGGAAACATAGAAAGGTATTAACATTGGTACTAGTTTCCTTTCAGTGCTTTTCCTTTAAATGTACTGTTTATAATATACTGATATATCAGAGATACAAGTGTTATCATCAAGAGGCACATCGAGACACTGTATTTCCTTGTTTGTTTTCAGTAATTATTTCATCACTCAAATCACTCTTTTACTGTCTCTTTCAGTATCGGGAGAGTAAGGCCTATGAGGAGGAGTTGAAAAGATATGAAGACAAAGAACGGGTAGATCTAGACAAGGCACGCCTCAAAGCTCAGGAAGCCGTAAGTCATGATCAGTTTACTTCACAATGAGATAAATAATTAGTCACAACCGTGAAATAATAGAAGTGAGAACTGTAATCATATCCACCTGTACAACAGCACTAAATGTAAATGCACATTTGTTCAGTTTTAATGTATTAACAGAACACTGTAAATACTTTAGGACATATCACAAATATGAATTCAAATAAAAATATAAATTGCCCCTCATTTGTGGGTATGTTCTACAAAAAAGTCAAACAGAACTTTTCTCTAATCTGTTAAAACCAACATAACCCAAAAGTTGACATACATTTGTATAAAATGACTGACTGATTTGCAACAATATGAGCATATTAACATCAACAGTAAGCATTCAGCTTGGAGGGAAAATGGCAAAATAGAACATATTAAAGTGAAATACTGAGTGCTTGTGACTGTTAAACAATTTGTCCCAGTTTACTAACAGTTTGCTGTGTGTGTCTTTGTCTGTAGGAGCGACAGTACAGAGAGGCCATACTGGGGGATGTTGCCCAATCGCCCAGACCATCCCCTGCTAGAACGAAGGTCCAGCATAGGTCACAACGCAACACACAAAATACACCTGGTCGTAGAGGGCAGGAGCCCCCCAGGAAAGCTCCATCAAGTAGGTTAAAACTTGTATATTCACCACATGGATCTTTCACTCATGCTTAGACACACTGACATGTAAGCCTGTATGTAGAGCTGCAGGATTGTGCCTAATCGGGATGCCCCAATCAACTGATCGGTATTTGCTATATTAAGCTATATGAGTCTGATCCAATCCTTTGATTTACTCAAGCTGTCACACGCAATGCAACAAGTGCAGCTATCACTAATTTACCAACTCTTTGTTGTCTGTCTCTCCTCCACTGTGCTCTGTGTAGCATGGATGAAAGAGACTTGAATTTAAATTTATATTATTTACCTAATTTATATGCACACATTTCATTTAAGCTTAGTGTCTTGTATCTTGCTGTCATCTATGGTGGTCAGCATGGTGTTTTACTGCAGGCAGTACACTGTATCACAGGAATACAGTAGGTTGATTTTAATAACTTTAATACAGCATACTTGAAATGTGCAGTGTGCAACAGTATTATCTAAGAAAAAAAGAAGTATTGGATCGGGACTCTATATTAAATGACCTGTGAGCACTTGATGGGGACATCCCCAATGGTTCCCTTTGTTTAAATATTGTAATCTGTGTTCAAAATGCTCATTTCCACAACCTAATGGCACCGTACCACATTGTTTATCAGAGAAAAACTATACTTGTCTCCTCTTTTTTGCCTCACTCTAAATGTATCTTCTGTGGGCTGAAACTAAAGCGGAAACTTTACAGAATTGTTTGTCATCATCAAGCATCTGCAAAATAATATCTACCTTAAGGCACATCTGACACTGACTGACATGAATCTGATTTGGTGACGAATGCAGTCGTATCTAAGAGAGTTGACCCCTCAGGTCTCTACTGGGTCATGAGACTCAGACTGAGGATTTAGAAATGCTTGTCTTCTTAAGCTGTGATCACTGAGCCTTGGTGTTTCCACACACTTTGTCCTTTGGCTGAAGTTTCCTCTTGGGCTGTGTGTGTGCCTTACAAATGTTCATATTTCTAGCTTCAGGCTGGTTGGCCCACTTGCGTTGATAATGGCAGAAGTAACAGCTCTGGTAGACTATGAAGTAAGGACCTTGAGTGTGTTTTCTACAGTGACACTTTCTGTTGCACATTGGGCAGTTCTTCATCAGCTGCAGGAGGGCCTCCTCATCGACAATGTGCTGCAGAGTTGGTCTGTTATGGGGCAGAAAAGAGAGCCAAGAAATGATGACGGTTGTATGGAGTATGGCTAGAAGCAGAAACATGCACAAGTTGTCACTATGGATGCATCACATGTCACAGGTGCAACAGTGGTACAGGGTTTAACCTGCATGACTGTTGTTGTGTCCCATTGGTTCAAAGCTCTGAATTAATACACTGTAGTACAGAGCTGTCTTATTGACACATCAGGGGAACATGATAAAAGTTATTTGTTGACTTACTTCTCCATGGTTGCAGGTCCATTTACTTGAATACCTGTGAAATGATATCACAGTCAATGAAAAGGATCTTTTTAAGTTGAAATACTTCAAAATGAGGATAAAGTCATTCAAGAGTAAATTCTAAACAATGTTAAAACCAAAAACATCATTTATAATATAGTGGACACAGTTGGACAACTTCCACGTCTTCACCAGATGTCAAACATACTGGACAAAATGGGTCTCAAGCTGGCTCTACAGACAGCATACAGAAACAAAACAGCATTATTTATATTGTAGTAAACAATATAAATGCTAATAATGCTGGAGTCCTTGATGATACTGATAACTTCACATATATTCTGACGAAGATTTGTGTAATTCAGTCTACAGTATCTGTTTAGTGAGACGGGCGAGGGGTGTAAATCAAAGACACTGGATTATTGACACATTGTGATTTACAGATTATTGACAATCATGAACAGCAGCTATTGTTACACGTGACTACAATTCACAGCTGTGGCTGCTTATAGCACCTATAATCTCATGAATTACTCATTTGCACCTGTAAACCACAGTGGATGGTAAAGATCATTCATTGACTCACCTGTAACTGTGTCCTGGCCTGGTGGTGTGTCCACTACTGCCCACGTGTCTTGCCGCTGTGAAATGCCAGACAACAAACACCTGATTATAAACAATGACTTTTTCACAACTACAAACAGAACGGTTCTGAAAAATGTTTCTCGGGGAAACCATTTATACATCCCTCCCTATGGTCTATATCGCTTGAGTGGACAGAGGCTCAGCAGCCTCCAAACATCTCTGACTGCTTGTCCACGTTGTAGTCATCTGCTGCAAAATGCAACGAGTATACCCGAAGACTTCCAGCACCGGAGCTGCTGCGTTCCTGTCATATTTGGAGGGCTTTATCGCCTGGAGCCATTCAACATCTGTTGGTGGTCTGTGGTAGCTTGTGCTTTCTCCAGCCTCCCTGTAGTTGTCACACACAGGTAGCATACACCACACAGGCTGCTGTGTTATTGATTAATGGCCATTTAAATTTCCATTGAAGACCCCTTTCATACTTCTTGGACACCGAGGCGAGTGTGAAACGTCAGAAGCCGTCAGAAGCCAACGCGCAATGCATCCTGGTACATGTAGGCACTGCCGGCACGGCTCCGTGAGCAGGAGTCAGACAGCTTTCTCGGTCAATATACACACACAGAGGAACGTATTGCTTCAAGTGAGCACTGTTAGCACCAACAC